CCCGGCCCCACCACCGCGCCCGCTCCAACAACGCCACACTGGCCGTGCGCGGCCTCCCGCTCCGGTGGTCCACCAACTCGCAGCTCGCTCGCTCTCCCCAATACATACCACTCCCCCCCCCTACCCCCTCTCTCTCTGCGCGTACTTTGTCCGTTTTTGTTTCTACCGCTGTCTGTTTTCTTTAGCCTCGCGGGGGGACTAAAATCTCCAACAAAACTAAGACACGGACGCGTCGCCAAAGTTTTCGCCAGCGCGGGGGCAGCATCCCCCCAGGCGGAGGGAGTTTTGAATACAAAAATGTGTGTCCTTCCCCGTATCTGCGAAGGCGGTTTCCTTTTCCCCGCCCGGCTCGCCTCTTTCATGCACCGTCTTCGTTCAAAAGGGGCAGGAGGGCAGGAGGCGGTGACACGGGGCGCTTATTACCGGGCGCCCCCCGTCCCGCGCGCACGACTGGCGCTAAAAAAGAGATCCGTTCCTAAAAAGAATGTCGAGGTGACACGCGCCATACGCCATTTCGAGAGAAGCGCGGACGACATCTCACTCTTCTTCCTCACCCTTGGTCTCTAACCTTCTCTGCTTCCGCCAGTTTTATTCCGTTTGCCCTTCCCTCGCGCAGGGTACTCTACCCCACCCCCTCCGCTTCGTCTGCCATTCTTTTCATCTCTACTTACTTATTCGCCATTCAAACTTTTCTTCTTTTTTCCCCTAAAGCGCGCGGTCCTCTCTCCCTTCCCGGGCCATCTTAATCGCAATACTATTCCACTTTAAGTCCCGATGAGAAGCAGCGACGCGCCGCGCATTACAGCCCACGGCAATCACCCCCCCCCTTCCCCCCTCCCGGCCATTTCATTAATAAAATGTCGTATCCTCCATCCCCCTGTCAACAACGTGGCCGCCGCCGGGGCCGCCGTGCTCCAGTGAGACCACAGAGGCGGTAAAGGGGGAGGGGGGTATATAAAATCAGGGGGCTGGTGTCGTGGCCTGTGGCGAATAGGGGTAGGCTTTACGGGGGCCAGTCTCCCCCTCCCCCATCCCCCCGCGTACACTTGGGCCAGCTGTCTGTCAGCCCGGTGGGCTAATGAGCAAGACCAGAGCGACTAGACCCGACTCAATCTAGTTGCAGCAGCGTGGCGCGGCGTAGCGTGGCGAGCTGATGGGAGCATGGGGGCCCCTGTGAGTTTATTGCGCGAGGATGGGGAGGGGCGGGGCAGGGAGAGAGAGAGAGAGAGAGAGATTGCTTCTTCAGCTGTTGGGGCGGGGCTGAAGTCATTACTGAGGTTAAAATGTAATAAAGCAGGGACAACAGAGGGGCAAGTCGATGGGCATTTGTTATCTGTCACTCTCCCCTCGACCCCTCCTTGCCTTGAGCGGCCCTTTGGCCCTTAGTCTTTCGTTGGGGGCTTCCCCCAGGAGGCTGTCTGTCCGGACCCATCAGAATAAGTCTGTGTTTCGCGCACGCCGCCATATTGCCTTGACGTGTCAACCATATGATCATATGTCAGACTACAGCGTTTGCATTTTCTTGTCTGTTTCAGTCTGGAGCCGTCTCCCAGCAGGCGTCGGTGGATGCAGGTCGGGGACAACTCGGTGAGGAAACTGGAGATGAGGAGAGACGGGAGGGGAAAGGGCACACTGTTTTTCGCCCGAGCAAAAGGATTCTGAGATACCACTGGAATATCATCTCGCCAGTGCAGGACCCATAAAACCATACCCCCACCCAATGCTCACTCGTGTACTTCACCTCTCTGCGTGTGATGTTCTGTACTTGTACATAATTCCGTTTTGTATCGAGTGGAAGTGTGGTCACTGGTCGTTTTCTTTCAATTCGCCTATCGTTTATTTGCACAAAGTCAGTGACGTCACGTCACCCCTAGTCGTAAACTAGAGCGACACTCCTCGATGTGTGTTTCCATGTCACATTTTAGGCGTCACACTCGCCACGTAAAACGCACACGTAAGAAACGCTTATTAGCGAATAAACGTAATTTTGAATCAACTTGCACACAGATGCTTAGAAATTGAATTCCAAAAGTCTGCAATTATCCGTCGCACTTGCCGGCATGTCGCTGCGTGGCATTAGGCGTGTATCGTCCGCGCTTGACATGAACGCTGATCTCGCTCTTCAAGAGAGTATATTCCAATGTAAACCCGTGTCCAAAAAAAGTCACAAAAAAAAAGTAGTTACTCAAAACATATGTGACCACGACGAGAAAAACGAATTGGAGAACCCCTCAGCTCGAAACAATTCAGCAGGTCGGGTGCAGAACATTCATCACGCCTTTACAGCAGATTCCGGAGAGGCCCGGCCGAGACGAGCGCGCTGCCGGCGTGCCACACCTGACTTTGCTCTGTCTATCGCAGCGGACGCCAGGCCCTCGCTGGACGCGGGGGGCGCGCCCGAGGAGGCGGTGCCCGTGTCGGCGCAGCGGATAAAGTTGGCCCTGGGCAGCATCAAGGAGCGTGTCTCGACGGCGTACGGCTCGCTGGCCGAGCGGCTGCGCACCGGCTACCGGGTGTCTCTGGAGCGGCCCTCCTGGGCGCGCGGGGCCGGCGAGCGGCCCCTGCTCCGCAACCCGTTCACCCGCAGGGGCTCGGGCCAGGGCTCGGGCCAGGGCTCGGGCCAGGGCTCGGGCCAGGGCTCGGGCCAGGGGTCCCCGCAGGGCGCCGCCCAGGGGGCGGCCAACGGCGGCGCCAAGCAGGGGCCCCTCGCCACCTAGGCACGCGTGGTGTAAGTCGCGCTCCACTTAATTCCGTTGTTTGCTTGCTGCTGCCACAGACGTTGTTGTTGTTGTTGTGTTTTTCTTTCTTTCCGTTGTTATTCTCTACGCGGATCATGCACTCAGAAAACCGTATCTTTCTGGGAACGAAGTGATGACTTTGTCGCAATCATTAAAACAATCATTACAACAAAGAATGTTTTTTTCAGCTAGGCCCTAGTTGTTTAATTTCACAAAGAAAAATTTTTGTCACCCGGACGAAAAATTTGACTCTGGTTTCTGGCAAGAGTTTTCTATATACGGTAGATAAAATTTCTTTTCGCCAAGCGGAAGCGCGGTTTTCTTGGTGATGGTCGGCACGCCGAGTCCCTTATGGCGCTCGGCACGCGGCGCGACGCGCCCCTCTAATGGCGGCGGCTGCGGACCCGGTCGATACGCCATATCCTGCGGTCGGCATGAGACGACATAAGCCATCAGCATTTCCCAGACCGAGCAGAGATTTTCAGCCGGCCGCATTACCGAGCCATTGGGCCCGCCATTGTCCCGCGTAATTGAAACAGAATGGCGGGCGATAACGCTGATTGATTGCAAACTTCAATGCTGATCGGGATCAAAAGAGCCTCATTTCATTTATTTATTTTTAGCTCGCATTAAATATGTGTTTGTAAACGTTTTGGTTTTTTTTCCGTATTGCGTAAACCGTTGTTATTTTCTATTGCGTAGTAGCGTAGTGTGTTTCACATATAATGCAAATCGCTGACACTTTGCCACGAGCTAAATAACTCACTAAGCACTGCCTATAAATTGTGTAACTGTAGTACATTTGTTTCTGCTGTTCAATGTTGTTACCGAGGGGTCGCAAACTCGAATAATACTCAGTACACGGGTCCCATAACCCCTTCATAATAAGACTTTGTAATACTCCATAAATATGCCACAAAATACCCCAAAATAACCCACATAATACCTTTTAAAACCTCATAATGCTACATAATACTTCATTATATCAAATAATATGTCATAAAATCTCTTAAAACGTGCCATAATACCGCATAACACCATAATACTCCGTACACGGCTGAGGTGAGTTGGCGATCCCTTGGTTATTACATCGTTGTTGCTGATTTTTTTGTTTGTTTTAAAAAGAAGTCTTATTATTGGTATTGGCGCTGATTAGATTTTCTAGTAGGGTTATAGATTATAGATGCACGCAAAACTCACAAATTTTAACAATAAAGTGCACCACTATGCTATATAGAGTAGGTAAGATATCAGTTTCCCTACCATAAGGGCAAAATACCCAGCCCATCCAGAAACGCAGAAGGGCTGCTGGCTCGGACCCAGGGCTCTCGGACCAGCCTCATCGAGACCCTATCTCTGCCGCCGCCAGCTCGCTCCGGAAGAGAGCCATCCCACACCGTCACTTTCCATCACAGGGCGCGTCGTTCGTTTGGCTCCCCGTTTGCTATTCCGCCCGGGGATCGATACCATCCGTGCGATGTGCTGGCCGGGCACTAGGTCTGTCGTCCACCACCTCCGGCTACCCGCACCGCCACCACCCCCTCCTCCTGACAAGCAGCGCTGGCACGACGGGCGCGCGGGCCGCGCGCGACGGAGTGGAGAGCGCCTGGGAGGTAGGCCGCAGCGGGCCATCCGTGCCCTCGCGTTGCCTACCGCGACGGAGTGGAGAGCGCCTGGGAGGTAGGCCGCAGCGGGCCATCCGTGCCCTCGCGTTGCCTACCCCCCAGGCGCTCTCCCGGAGGAGCTGCAGCGCTTGGCCCCGGGGCGCTCCCGGGAGGTGGGCCGCAGCGGGACACGTGTGACATCACGTTGCCTACCCACCAGGCGCTCGCCTGGAGCGGGTGCAGTCGAGATACCGTCGTCACCCGACGGGTGAACCAGCAATCTAGCCAGAGGGAGCAGCTTTCGAAAAAGGGACCGCGGGTACTACGGGAGAGGGGACATCTCAGAGGGAGGCCTTAACGTTGTTGCGGTAAAGACATTAATCTCCCAGGGAAAGAGATCAACTGGGGAGGGAGTGGTGGCTGTTTGGCGGCCCAGGGTGCAAAATTAATGGACCGCGAGAAGGCCGCTGCTGCCAGCAGATGGAAAAAATGGGGAAACAAGAAAAAGCACAAAGCGACTTTCTTCCCCGCCCCAGTCTTTACCTGTGTAGGGGTTAAGAAACTCGGGGGGTTTTTCTTGCCGTTCCAGGAGCAGGGCGCCGCCGCCGCCGCCATCACGCGATACACGGCGGGCGACGGCGCACGGCAGCATGCGCTGATAATACCTTGCGAATGATTTATTCGTATTGCGAATGGCTTGGCTGCTTTATAAGCCTGTCGCTGAATTATTCCCTCGAAGGTTTTTTCCTCGCATCACTAAGGAAATAATCGTTCGTATAATAATTTGCTCGCAACTACAAAGGCAGCCATACAATTATTATTGTTTTGCACGGGACTAATATCACACGGTGTTGTAGAGATGCGTGACACCTGCGTGACGTGTGTTGCAGACTCACCGATCAAGAGGGATCGCTGGCAGCGCCGGGCCCGGGGCTTCTTCGTGCGCGCGCTCGCCATCCTGTGCTTCCGCCCGCGACGCGCCACCGGGAACCTGGTCCTCGCCGCCGCCCCGCGGCCGCAGACCGCCTGAGGCCTGAGCCGTGAGCCGTGCCGGAGCGAGAGCGTCAGTCAAGTCTTCCCTGCCTGAAAAACACACAGAGAACGTCTCAGCTGCTTGGCAACTTACTTCTGAACAGTGCAAACGGAACAGCGAAAGGTTGTGGATTAAAATGAGTAGGAAATTTGTGTCATATTGTGTAGTGCCCTGAACATTTTTGTGTGTCGTCGTGCAAGAGAATGCGGTGCTTGCAATTTCAAACAGATATCATTGCCATAATCTTTTCAGCCTGCCCAAATGAAACTTGTGTCTAGGTTTTCAAGTGTGTGTAGATATACATTCCCTTGTGTGTGAATAGATATCCCCAAACCATAATGTAAGAACGAAAGTCTTTCGCCCTCTTTAGAGATTTGTGTGTTTCTTTGGTAACATCAGAAGCTTAAAAGTTGACGCTGTACATATACAGTTTGAGATAACAAGGATCTTGGCCTTTTACTGTCCGCTATACCACAATTTTAGCGACTTGTGTGACCCACTAGTTCTGCGGTTGTTCGGTTTGAGAAAAAATGAAAATGACATGGGTAGGAATTCGCACAAAGTTACAAGGTCTCAAGCACATCGGGCCCAGCCCCGCCCAGTGACCGGGGGCGTGGAAAGCCCACACAGAAGGACTTCGTTGAGGATATTTTGCATTGGCGCTAGTACACGTCTATCACCCTTTTCATCAGTCCAGTTTGACTTATCTTCGTGACTTAATAGAAAGCTCCCGAAAATATTTCCTTGATATGAAATGGCTCTCCTCGGATTCCTGGGGAGGGGAGCGAATGCTAATTCAGTTCAGTTCTTGATTGCTTGCAAAACTACGTCGTGGATAAATGTGAATATGTATAACTTAACAAGTATTCTTCCCTGATATTTATTTTTGTACGCAGAGTGAGCCTGCCCTGCTGATGCCTAGCTTCATTCAATGACAACTAACAATGCCCGCTGCACAATAAGACTTGTCCGTGAGTGAAACATATGCTAATGTTCTATGTGAATCTGCATTTCCTCAAATAATGGCGGGTTTACGATGGATTTTCTTATGTTATGTCAGAACTTATGTTATGTTGAAAGAGCTTATGTTATGTCGGTTTTGAAGGGGGTGTTTACGGTGGTTACGTTATGTCTGCAAGGAACCTTATGTGAAATGTACCTAAAAGCATAAAACTATATTTTTGGAGGAGTTAAAACCATTGCGAGAAATTTAAAATTAATTTTCGCTGTTAATTCTTTGTATGACAGCTTCAAATTTAAATTGTCCGAATCCATAATTTACTTTGTAGGTTAGGTTTCCACTGCTTCGCGCGCGTTCTCGCGTTTCTCATTGGTTGCCGCGTCACGTGACCCTTATGTTATGTCGAAGTAGAACATAAGTCAACTCGATAGTTGACTTATGTTGCAAGGAGTTATGTCGCAACATAACATAACGATCAACATAGCATCGTAAACGGTCCCATAAGAGACAAGCAAAGTTGACTTTACGACATAACATAAGGGTTCGACATAGCATAAGAAAATCCATCGTAAACCCGCCATAATAAACTGAACAAATAGCTTTTCAAATGGATAAAATTTCTAATAAGTCGATGACTTCCCGCGGGGTTTCAAAAAGGCCCGCAAACAGTATTCAAATTTTACGTAGAGCTAGGGCCTCTTGAGCCCCCCGAAAACGGAGGAGAAATTGCATTCTGTTATTATTGATGTGATGAGCGTATGGACCTACTTTCCCCTTAAGATTGACCAAGGAAATAGTATAGCAAGTTGAAGAGGTGGGTTAAAAAATGTTCGAAATCAAAATAATTATAATACTTATCAAAAAACCTTGTGTTTATTTATTTGTTTCGTTTGTGAATGGTATATCATTATGTGTCAACATTCCACTCGATGTCTGTATATGTGTGAAATAAAATTGAATTATTTACTGCTCTTTTTTTTATTTTACTGTCTGTACGTATGTGCGTGTTGCTCTACCGTTTTAGAATATACAAAGTGCATACCTTTGACCGGGATTAAAAATCAGCATGTCATTCCTTTGATACAGCCGATATATTGAAGTAAATATTTTAATATCAAAATCAGAATGAAGAAATCTTTACTTATACTTACCCAAGTCGCAAAATCTAGCAAACTACATTTAAACTGCATTTTAAGTACGGTCTAAGAAGCGCAATTTTGGGCGCGTCGACGTACATTTTCGGCGCGTTTTAGACAGGACATACCTAATATGCAGTTTTAATGCAGGTCTGCTACCTGGGTTGATGTGTAAACATATAGTCAGACCAGCCTAAGGTCGAGAATGGAAAAGCATAGGGAATTCTACGGCATCCAATCTCGACCTTAGTCTGGTCAGACTCTAACATCGAGCATAACAGTGATTATCATAAGTATAATGTAAGCAAATCGGTCTAAAATCAACTCTCTTATATCATGGCCGCAATTTTTACGACCAGAATAAGGGCCCTAGTGTTTAACCAGCAAAGTATAAACCTTGAGAAAGGGCGGCCCTTTCTCAAGTATAAACGAGGGCGTAAAAGCGAGCAGCTTCAAATCGGAGGCGGGAGAAAAGACCTGGTCGTGCCAACCTCCACTTCAAAACAGCGACCTTAGAGCTATAAACAAATCCATGATTCTTCAAAAGAATTACAGGCAGAAGGTCTCAACGTAAGTAAAATACAATTTCCTTTAGTACCGAGACTATTTCGACAGTCGCTTCTCAGTCCACGGAATCAGATCAACAGGGGGGCATTTATGAGTCGACCAACTGCGCCTGCACTCCTCGGCCAGCGCAAACATCGATCCTAACCTCTTTGTCCGCACGAACGTCTGCCGCTGCCACGGGAACTGCTGGAGCTATGTCCCTGTTACAAAGAATTTGGCGCATTTTGTTCCGGGGTGAGACTCAACCTGCTTCGGGGCGTGACTTGCATGCACACCATACTGTGAAAGGCAGATAATGACAGATTAAGGAGATAGGCCGAACGCTGTGATAAGAAAACCAGCATGACAGTGCAGGGCAGCAAACCAAACAACTGCACGAACAGGACGTGACCCTGAAATTGACCAAGTCATCACCACGATTAAAACCGGCAGATGTGACCTTTATTTCTACCAAATAAAAAGTGATGTCATGATTTGCAGCAGAAATGACAGATTTTCCTGGTTAGGTACCATGGCTAGGGGGGAGGAGCTGAGGGAAGTGCGGGGGAAGGGGTAGGGAAGGAATGTTGCTGTGATATTCAGTCAGTCCGACCGTCACCGTGAAGCTTACGTGACGTGCCTAGTGAGTGTTCAGTGTCCACTGTGTGTTTGTACCCGGATCTCACACTTCGTCAACTGTTCCGAGGGTGGACTTGTCTCTCTCAAGGTATGAACGCTGCGTGCAATGTGATCAAATTTTTTAGTGATATTGTCTTAGTTCTGGGGCGTCTGCCTACTTGTTAATACAGGCGTGCTTTCTTCACCATCACCTTTCCGGTGCAATGGTATTGGATAAGGCCAATTTTCAAAGTAAATTCGTACTTCTTTCATTTCAGTTTAAGTCGTTACTTACTTCAGAATGTTCTGCCCTCGTGTCCCAAAGAAGAAAGGTATGGTTATTCTGCTGCTTCGTGACATCAGACATGACTGTAGACTTTCAAAGTTCACAACTGCTATTGGTTTTATAGTTAGACTACTATTCTTTAACTTTTCTCTTGCATATTGCAAGAAGGCAAATCATTTATGTTATACTTTCTACAACATTGTGTTTTCCCCCCACAACAGGGCCTGTCGAGCCTGTTGATATGAATGGCGAGCTTGCTCAGTCGGTGAAGAAGATGATTTCAGCTGATAAGGTCGTCATTTTCTCCAAAACCTATTGCCCTTACTGCAATATGGCCAAGGAGGTATTAACTTGCTCTTCAGAAAAAATATTTGGAGTCTTAATTTATATTGTCATCTCAACACTACATTAATACTTAAATTTATACAGGCTTTCGACAAGATTAAGTTCAAGTACACAGCTGTGGAGTTGGACAAGCGTGATGATGGGGACCAGATTCAGGCAATTCTTGGAGAAATTACTGGTGCTACAACCGTAAGTACAATAATTTATTTATCTCCTGTTCATTTATTGTATAGAAAAGTGAGACATTGTTATTACTTTCTTTTCTTACCATCGCGATTGTAATGGTATTGTTTGCTTGGATTTAACAATGCATTCAAACATCTGCTTTCAGGTTCCACGTGTGTTCTTGGAAGGAGAGTGCATTGGAGGAGGTACTGATGTAAAAGCTTTACAAGAAAGTGGTGAGCTAAGTAAGAGACTTGGTCTTGCTTAGACAAGTTATTTTATCTTGTTCCATATTTTGTAAGTCCGTTTTGATGTCTTATTTTAAACCTTGGTAATTTTATCATTTTTTTTTAAGACACATAAATTTTTGCTTTATCATTTGTTGTGCAATCACATCAGTCATTTGTTATGTAAAATTTTGGCAAATACTCATGAAATTCAATGAACTGTTAACTATTTAGAACTATGCTGATTAAAAACCCATTCAAAACTATTTCTCTAAAGTTAACTTTCTTTAATAACTCATTTGGTACCTCACTTCCAACACTCATCACAACTCAGATTTGTACTTCTTGCTAACTGGACAATAACATGCATTTTTCTGTGCATCTAAGTAGGACTTGCACCCAAGTGTCATGGTACCTGAAAAGAGAGACTTCGCTACCGTCTTGCATACTGTAAAACAAAATTGTAGCAATGGGCATGTTAAAGACAAGAAGTCAAGAAGTCAAATGAGACAAGAGAGTTCATGCTTTAAAAAAAATCCTTACCTTTGGTCAAAGCAGCACCAACAGTTTGAGCATGGCTGTCACATATTTTGTACAAACATCGCTTCATGTCAAAATCACATTTTTCTTTACCAGAGTTACAAGTATCATAACAAATGTCATGCTGGTTGCAACATTCTGTCATTTCGACAGCAGGTAATGCATCTTTTGGAATCTGAAGCAAACATGCAAGCAGTAACTAG